TGATCAGGACTACCAACTTACTACGAATACACTTTTTTCCTGAAAAACTTTCAGTCCTGAAAAATCCGAATTTGTCTCACTTCTTAAGGAAACACCCCCGTATCTTCCGTAATATTCGAGGTGGAACGATGAAACTCTCTGGACTGATGGAAATGCTCAAAATGCACCTACCACCTGAATGGGGTTGGCCAAAGTGATATACACTGTCCGCCACTCGCGATGGAACACCCCATTTTTACGGTAAAACATATTAGGGGGCAAAATAGGCTCAAAATTCCTTCAGATTCGTAATCAGGACTACCAACTTACTACGATTACACTTTTTTCCTGAAAAATCCGAATTTGTTTCACTTCTCATGGCAACACCGCCGTATCTTCCGTAATAATTGAAGTAGATTTTTTTTTGGTTTTGACATCAAAACATGAACGAAATTGTTTAAGAGAAACTCGACTTTTGTTTTCACATAAATAATTTATTTTTCATTTTGTTGTCAGGAAAGTTATTCCTTCTCAATAAATAAGAGAGAAAATGGTAATTTTGTAAGAGGAACGGAAACATGTAATCAGTGAGGTTTTAGGATGGTTAATGTTAGTTCATATTCTCATTTTCCCATAATTAAAAAAAAAACAAGGATATTTTGTGGCGAAAATGTTCAAAATTCTTTCGAAGTACTACTTTCAAAATCACATTTCCAATTAAAAAACAAAACAATCAATTTCAAATGATTTAACTGTTGACAATTTTATATTTTCGTGCCTTCTATGAAATTTCCCTCCAATCGAACACATTTTTCTATGCGTCTTCTATTATTTCCTCTTCTCAGTTCTCTAGGTGTGATTTCTCTACACGCTTGTATAATTCTTGCACGGAGATCTTCCTTATTTGTTAAATTATCCTAATAAACTTTATTTTTCAAGTTTCCCCATAAATAAAAATCCAGTGGAGTTAAATCTGGGGATCGTGGTGGCCATAATACGAGAGGGCTATTGGGTCTTATTCATTTCATAGGTAGATTCCTATTCAACCAAATCCTTGTTATGCCACTATTGTGAACTGGTGAACCATCTAACTGTGTCTCACATCCAAAGGTAGTTCTTCCAACACATCGGAAAATGCATTTTCGAGAAAATCAACGAATAGTCGTCCGTTTAAATTTTGATCGAAAAAAAAATGGCCCGATAACATTTTCGTTCAGGATACCACACCACACATTAAATTTCTGAGATATTTGGTATCTACAATTCACCACCCAATTTGGATTTTATTCAGCCCAATCTGGGAAGATACAATACCATTCGTGGTAAAGGTAGCCTCATCACTGTATAAGATATACTTTAAAAAATTCCTGTCATTGAGATAATTTCCCTGCATCCATAAACAATACTCCATACGGCGGATTTCATCTCCTTCGTGCAAAGTATGTAAAAATTTGGGTTTGAACACATGCATTTTATGCCTCTTTAAACACCTCCATATTTTACTGCGGCGCATATTGAGTTGAAGCGATAAGTTTCTCAAACTAATTCTAGGATCAGCTTGATGAGCCGTCAATATCGTATCATCATCAATATGATGTTTTACAATTTTTCTGTCCTTTGTTACTTGGCGGATGCTCGCGAATAGATTATACAATATTTTATGTACAGTTCCAGGGTGTACACCTCTAGCGGGTGTCTTCTATTAAATTCAGCGGCCGCTTCACGATAAGACCTCACCCCTTCACCAACAATTAAAACAATTTCAATTTTTGATTGAAGTGACAGACATACCATGTTAAATTTTGTCAGCTGATATCAGTTAAAATGAGAACTTCAGAAATATTAAAATATGAACAGGAACTCACAAACAGAAAACAACTGGAACACAGGAACGATATACAACACAAATACAGGAACAATAAACACAATGGGAACAAAAACACGGCAGAAACAATAGGAACAACGGTGATTCAAAGAACAACAATACTAGAAACAACAAATGCAATGAAAACTGGTCTGGGCGTTAATACATCAAGATCTTTCAACAATATTGTCAGGTTGACAGTAAATATCAATGGCAACTGTTTTCCATGGTGATTTCAGGGCACCGCATGATTCAATGGAACTGATGTAATTCAATCCCTTCAAATGATTTCAAACAACAATTCAGCAAATAGGTAAAATAATCTAAATTCTACATATTCACCGAGTGCGATTTTTTCTTTAAAAATTAACAGTTGTTTCAGTGTTGCAATGAGTATGAAGATTAATTTTGTTTCGGATGGTAAAACGTTTCCTCAATATTTTGATGAAAGACCCCGCACATTTCTTATGAGAAATGGCTTGCCTTGAATTTTGCCGAAATTTTGATATGTTATAGTTCTTGATGTACTGATTGAAAGTGTCTACAGCCAAAGCTCAGCATTGTACAGTTTTCGAGATGTGAACCTTTGAATATAGATTTTTTCCATTTTTTGCAGTTTTTGCTCATCAATCGAGAGCTCTCACTTCTGGTTGGGATATAATTTGGATGTTCAGCAACGAGAATTAGTTTTACGAATAATCTTCTTCAGTTATAATAGATGCCGCCATCGATGATTTTTCATACACTGCTTCACACTATCTCGATAATCTGAGAATGTGGTGCTGTGACCCCTAATATGTTTTACCGTAAAAATGGGGTGTTCCATCGCGAGTGGCGGACAGTGTATATCACATTGGCCAACCCCATTCAGGTGGTAGGTGCATTTTGAGCATTTCCATCAGTCCAGAGAGTTTCATCGTTCTACCTCGAATATTACGGAAAATACGGGGGTGTTTCCATGAGAAGTGAGACACACTGTATAATATAATATACACTTTGATAGTAATTATGCATTTTGTCAAGTATTTATGTTTCTTCAAATGAGAGCCTTCTTTGTATGCATTCACCAGGTCATACACCTTAAAAAGTGCTCAGGATTATTTTATCACTAAAAGATTGTATCTTAATAACGATGAAATTCTTTTTCACAGGCCCATGTCCTATAGGGTGGATCTTAACATGTTATAACAAATTCAAAATTTGATGAAAATTGTCCACTATTGAAGAAAACTTTGTAAATTGACCGTGGTAATCATATTTACAAATTGCTAAAATTCAAAATAAATATAATAGATATGTACTTTGGGTTGACCAAAAATCAACACTCTTTCAGGTTTTTGTCTAAAAAATATTACAATCTGACCCCAAACGAGTGAAAGGAACTAAACCTATTTGAATTTTCAAAAGGGCAAAAAGTTTTATGAAAGAATAAGTATATTATAAAAGTGAAGAGTTTATATATTTTTTTAATTGAACATGACTCAATGACAGTAATGTGTTTTGTTATCTTATATATGTTTCTTAAATGTTTTTTGCAAGTTATTATATATACGTTAATATTTGTAAGCTATATTTACTAGCCTTTACCAATCTGTCTTACACAAAAATATTTTATTTCATTTAGACTATTCACGGTTGTAAACCAAATTTTTTGTCCATATATTTTTGACAACCGCGTTGACGAACTGCGTTTATTTAGAGTAAACTTACTGAGAAAATTTTTCCAAATGGATTCATTCAATCTCCAGCGATTCCAATCCAATGTGAATAACTATTTTCGCACAGGCACCGATCTTAGAGCGCCAGTGTAGATTTAGTTGTCAGAGAATCAGTGTTATCTACATCAGTTCACTTTATGATCATTTACATATCACTTATTTCTGCGGAATAGGCATGGAATGGACTTGGCCGTGGTCTGCCAGGTATAAAAATCTGCAGACCGAGGCCAAAAAACCCAGAAAATAGCTTTCTCCGACCGTGAAAGTTTACATTCTTTGATCGATGTTAACTTAGAAAAAATGAGAAAAAGATTATTTTGAAACCTTGATTATCTCAGTCAGTATCTCAATCAAATTATTTTTCGAAAATGAAAAAACAATTATTCTTATTCTTTTTCTGAGAAAATTAACTTTGTCAATACAATTGTATTCAAGATTTATTTTATTTTCTGGTATAACTTACCCAAAGGTATATAATCATACAACTCCATATGTAAAATAATACATAGGGTGTTTAATTTGAAAAATTGAAGAATTTTTTTTCTTTTTTCAATTTATCCAGTATTAAAAAAAATTCTTTGATGAAATAATAATTCGATAATGAAAAAACTACATTCCAAAAACATCTTCATAACAACAGCCATTGAAAACAGTTTCAGTCATCTCTTGATGACTACTTGGTTAGCGAAACACACTTCGAGAGACAGCTTTTTTGTTCTGATGGAGAAAAGTGTTACCAACAGATTTATTACAGGCCAGAGGTTGCAAATTCCACTCATCAATTCATTACAAAATACTTTTCAAATGACAGCTGAATAGATACATTTTTCAACAATATTTTTGATATTTCATAAAATAAATCTAGTATTACATAGAAATTACTGAATAATTACAGGAATTACTTGAATATTACAGGTACGAGTCGGGAATTACTGGGGAACTACGGTATTACTTGTGTATTACTCGGGAATTAGAGGTGTTTCTTAGGGATATCGCAAATTAGTGTTCTTCCACCAGATTGCTCCTCGGATGTTGAATTTTGTTAAATAAAATCAAACTACTGAAAAAAATTTGAAAAATGAGTCAGCTGAAGGCAAAAAACAAGCCTGAAATGAAATGCTTTAATGCCATATCTAATGAGTGGAAATATTTCTTTCTTATTTTTCAGATTTAAAATGAAAACAAAAAAACTATGTTCAAATATACATACTCTCTGTTTTTATTTAAAAAAAAATCATTCATAAGAAAATTGAGAAAATGTGTAGTCCCTCTGTGGATGATCTATAAATTTTCTAAAAGAGTTTTCATTGATACAATGAATTTTTCTTTCCTCTATTGGAAAGTTACCCATTTTATATATACTAATGAATTATTTCATTTTTAAAAATGTATTATGAACATCCCATTCACAATGACCTAAATAGATACCTCATACATACTTTTCCAGCAATCTCATTCAGTAGTATAATTTCTTTCAAGATTTCACGATCCTCTTCAATTTGTATACTCAAATATTTAGATTTTTCTTGTTTCGGAGAAACACTCTCAATGCCATAGAATACACCATACTTCTGAACCTAAAAAAATAATTACAGTAAATACTTAATGTATAAATTCTTGTTTGTGGTCGTGAATGTATTCGCTTTATTTTGGAATGCTCAGTTTTTTGTGAAAATCATTACTTTACTTTATAAAAATTAATAGTATCAATATAACATTGTTCATTACTATAGAATCAATTCATGAAATAATACTAGCCAAATCAATCCTTTGGTGACTAAAAACTTAATGTGAAAGCAGGTTATTTTTACTAGCTCATATTTTCGACAGATTACTTTTCTAGTCATGTCTTGTAGTAGCATGTGATGGAATCGGCGAATACTTAATAAAAAGCTAAAATAAACGTATTTAACAACACTTTCACTGTGTTGTGTACATTAAGCTGATATGTTTTTGTTTTTTAGTTCAGTTTTTCAGTTCAGTATTTGAAGAAGCTATTATATAGATAAGTGTGTGTTGCCTTTTGGTAAATTGTTTTGTGAAAATCTTACAATAAAGTATCTTAAAAACATTCTTTAAGGAAGTTTTCATGATTATTTCTCTCGTACACCAAGCTCAATTGGTCAAAATATGTGCAATTGCTTAATTTTAAAAATTTACTTTTATGCAAAAGCTTTCCTGTATAATAATATCAAGAAAAAAATTATAATCATTTACTTAGCAAAATTTCGAAAATTATTGACTGCATACGATATTAAAGTTGGTGCACCATTCATACCAATTTGAGTATTACTCACATCTTCTACACCATTTGACAAATCGACTTTTACCAAGGTGGTTTCTTCCTCAGGATAATGTTCTTTGATTTGCCTAGCTAAGGAGAGGTATATTTGTGATTCACCAATGTCTGTTTGAAGAGGAAAATTGTGCCCTTTTTGATGTCCAATACCTGAGACACCATCAATGTATACAGTTATTATAGCCTGAGCAACACCAAAAGGATCAGCCATATAAAATCCTCTCCAGTTTGAAAATCGTTCTGTAGTAAAACCGAGCGAGGCAGCGTATACTTCCTTCAATGTGCTTTCTCTCAAGGTGTCATGGCCTTGGAAGACTAAGCTGGAGGGATGATGACGGACCGATAGTTCACCAGCAGCATGGGCTGTTGAAAAAAAACTATATGTATATTTGTAATACTAAACTTCATCAGATACTAGCTGACTCGGCAAACATTATTCTAACATATGAATTATTTTTACAGGGTATCAAATTCCTAATAGTAAAGAGTAACTAATGCTCATTATAAATGAAAAACGGTGATAGAGTGCTCAAACAAAATTTTGTGATTTTGTGCACCATCTGTGGCATATATGCCACAGATGGTGCGTATTTTTAATACTTCACCCAACAATTATTAAGTTGCAAAAAAGTCTCAAAAAAAAAAAGATTTTATGAGCGTTCATACCGTTTTATTATCTGCAATATCATGCATTTGGGTATTTGGTAAAAAATATTTATTAAAATAAATAACTATGTTCATTTATTCATATACAATTATTATTGTTATAACATTTCAATTTGAAATATTTACATGATAATAAATAGGTAAGCTTATTTAAGAAGATATTAGGTATAAGTAAAAATTAATCAGATGAATCTTCGTCAATGTTATGATTAAAGCCTAGGTTCTACAATTTCTTCAACTGAATGGTCCAATTTTCACAAGTTGTCCTCTTCTTTCATAACATGTTCATAACATTTTCGCCATTTTTCGGAAACGACATTTTTCAAGGACACCTTAAAGAGTAGTTCGACAACTTTTATTTTGAATGTCATGTTTTTCTTGCGAAGAATCCTTTTACTTGAACCAAAACGAGTTTAATGTCATTGAGTTGACAATGGTCAGAGGGTAGATGCAGAATAATAATATTTCGATTCCGTACTATCTTGTCGAATGCATATTCCATAAAACGAGCTTTATTTGAACCTACTATGGATAATATTTCTTTTTTAACCATACTTTCATCAAATAGTTTTTTTTTTGTCAAAGCCACTGAATGATATCTGCTTTTCTCCATGCATTAGTTGGTATTTCCACTTATCTGAAATGATAACTTGCATTATCCATCACAATCACAGAGTTATGTTTTATGAGATCGAACATTTACTCAAATTATTTTCAAACACATCACCGTTCATGTCTTCATTGTAATCGCCAGAATGCTTCGACTCAAACATCAATAAACCGTCCTCAACAAAACCATCAACACTTGCAATGTGGGTACTAATCAGTCGCTTTCCTTTTCCAGAAGACGACTTTAATCCGGTAGACAAGCCATCTAAAAATGCTTGACGTGGGCTTGTGATATTATTATCTTGCAACGTTTTTCAACGGTTTATCCCTCGTTAAGCCAAGTTTCCTGTACATAATGAATCTTTTCTTTCCCACGTCAAAACTCTCTCATCTGCCTCAGGTAATGTCTCCTCCAACAAATAATTTCAACATTTTTTATTAAGAGCTATTTTCTGTTTTGTTTGTTCCAATTGAAATTTGATTCCTTTAAATACTTACTTTGTTTTTTTACCTGCAAGCAGCTTCATCGGACCAGAACCTGTCATTGGCATCGCTTTAGGCTTTACCAAACAAAAATTGAACACCTGGATGGCAAAACTTCTGGCAGAATCATCCAGGATTGGCTCAGTCCATTGGCGTTTATTCATCCTTCGAAGCTTGAACAGTTGTTGGACTACACTGGGTTTGAACTACAATGTCTAACAAGCCTTCTTACAGGTTACTGTCATCTGAATCATATGCAGAAACTCGGACTGTCGGAAGACTGTATGTCGCCTCTGTTTAGAAAATTATGAAACAGCAGAGCCCCGCTGGGGACTGAATCAGGTTTTCAGAGTTTTGGCAGAGCCGTACTCTTACCATCTGACCTGAAAGACCACTCACCATACAAACTAATCGGCTTCGTTAAGAAGCTGGGTTTATTGAGTGTGAATGGATGAGAGCCACAATAAACTCTTGCGGATTGCAGATAACCTACTTTGGTTTTCTTTCACGGCTCCCATTATTTTGTCCAGGGTAGGTATTTCTTTCTTAAAATAAAATGAATGTACAGTGTTTGCAAGTTTGTAGTAATCATCAAGAGGCACAGTTTTTTCCCTAAAGATGATTTTGATGATTTCACAGCTTCATTTGATATATCTTGATTTGAAATCCCCTGAAAAAATCTGTAAAAAAATTGAAAAGATTAGCTGAAAATTAACTATTATATCAAGCAAACAAACTGAAATTACTATGAAATAAAATACAAGCAACAACAAAAAAAATAAAACTATCAACACGAGATTCAAATTAAAAAATTGTTAGTATCCACAATCGTCTTCGGGTGATAACTGTCTTGTTAATAATTTTTTAAATTTTCATCTCGTGTTAATAGTTCAATTTTTTTTTTATTTTTTGGTTGTTGCTTGGATTTTAATTCATTGTTATTTCAGTTTCTTTGTTTGATATAATTGTTATTTTTCAGCTAATCTTTTTAATGTTTTACAGATTCTTTCAGGGATTTCAAATCAAGTTATATCATATTAGACAATGGAAGTCCGAACTAATGAAATGCGGTATACGATATATTTTGTTGTATGAAAACGTCATATATAAAAGAATAATAATCTTTTCTTCAACAGAAAAATCACATTTTATCATTATTTGTACCAAAGAAAACACTGAAGCAGCCATTTTAGTTCACATATTAAGTATAATTTACTAATAACTACTCTGATTACGACACAAGAGCTTTATCATTAATTCATATTCTTCAGGTAATAAATAACCTAATTGAAGCACTATTAGATCGAATAGAATCATGAAGTCATTATCTTTTCCAGCAAAAAAAATATATTTCAAGTATGTGATATATAGTTCTTGTTCGAAAAAATTCTATCAATTATTAATGTGAATGTTCCATATTTTTGTAACTCACAATAGTATGACATCATTTGCTGCCGAGAGAGCTCTAACCCTTTCTCTTTTTGAATTTCGATAGCTGGTTGTACTGATACACTTTTTGGAACCTTTTGTGTAGTAATGAATATTACTGGAGTCGTTTCTCAACACCAAACCATTAGTTTAACACCTCCACACGTGTTTCGATCACCAAGTGATCATCTTCAAGATGAAGATTAAACAGTTTAATGGTTTGGTAATATTCATGCAATAGATAGTGTTAGTTTTGAGGGAATAAAAGGATCATTTTATTTCAACCTCGTTATTATTCATCCTATACATAAAAATATCATTTGAGCAAATGTTCAAAATGTTTTTAAATCCTCTGAAAGCAAAACAGTCCATTTTAAAATAATTTGTGTAATGTGTGTAATTTTAATTTGATATATCCCCAAAAGAGAAAATCGAGAAGAGAAAATCCGATAAACGAGCAGGGTAGTCCAACGGACCGCGCCTACTGTGCCTGAGTATGTATATGAGGGAGTACCATCTTATTGGAAAACAATTGGATTTTCGAATTCATCATGATTGTTGGCCACAATTTCTTGAATCTGTGGGTGAATGAGGTTTTTAAGAATTACCAAATGTAAATGACCAACAATATGATTTTCCAATATTCCTGCCCATATATTTATTTTCTCAGGAGTTTGAATGTGACCTTCTTGAAAAATATGTGCGTTAATGCCTGATCAATATTGCACATTTTTGCGATTGTCTCTCCCTCTAAAAAAAATTACAGAAAACAAAATCCTTTATATGCAGTTTCAATTTGCAATCAAGCGTACGGATATCAACTCAAAAAACTGCATTCTTCTTTCAGAGTCGTCTTCAGTATATAGTGGTAAAACATGTCTTCTGTTACATAACAATATGAATATTCACTGTATAGTAAAAATGGGCAAGAACTGACCACCATAAAAGATAGTCAGGTCAGGGAACGGTGGGACATTGGTGTTGGTGAGGAGACCCAGGAACTGCAAAGATCCTAAGAGCGAAGCTGGCAGGAATTCTCAATTCCTAGTAGGGTCACCCTTGGCGGAAAGGATGAAGGTGAGCAGTGAAATTAGGGACAGCTTAAAGGGAGTAAAACTTTGTATAAAAATCTGCAATCTCGAGGTGTTGGCCTTGCTCAACCATTATGGACATACAGGATTGCTTACTTTTGCGATTTTGTTAGACACGTCACGTGATCTCGTAACGTAACAGTGGTGACTCTGGATTGATTCGGTACGGCACTTTTAAATTAAAATAAACAGATTTCATGTAAATCCCTTATTAAAATATTATTTTTATATAGGATTAAATACTTAATATAAATGGATTGATACTAAGTAAAAATTTTTCTTTTGTGGATGATA